AGAGATAGCAAAGTTGAGAGTTACAGTCCTGTTAATGTCAGGATATAAATTAGACTCATGAGTGTTTACTTTCCTGGGGATCTTGTTGGAAGAGCAGATGCAGATCCTCTAACGGCTCACAGGTGTACGAAGGGTCGTCTCCTGGAACTTCAGGCTGCAGAGTGGCGGGTTTATGGTTTTATTCAGGAGGTATCCGAGGCTTCAGCTAATTTGTGATGAATCCATGAGTCAGTTCCCACCACCTTAACTGCCACTGGCGTAGACAGAATAACTGAAAATCGTCCCTCCCAAGATGGGTCTAGAGAGGGAGAGTCTGAGGGGAGAGATTTAACAAGCACCAAGTCTCCAGGGCAGGAGAGGAACACTGAGAAGGCCGTGCCAGTGCCCAGAAGATTAACCTCCTGGCCTTCCACAGTCAGCTTTCCCCGGGGCTCTGTGAGGGTGACAGCTTGTGCTGGCGCTTGCCCCAGGCACCCTTAGTCCTGCAGCTGAGTCATCTGGTTAGACACCTCAGGCCCTGGGAACCTTTGTCGCCGAGGACAGTGCTCTTTCCAGTGATCCCCTTGGCATAGTAAGGACGAGGAGGTGGTCCATTCTTCTGGGGACAATTTCTTATAAAATCTCCCTTCGGACCACACTGCTAACAAGCTCTGCCAGACTGGCGGCTAACCCCAACCTTACCCTCATTTGAGCCCCTGGGGCCTGCTTGCCTGAAGGCCATTTAATGACTTCTATCATTTAGCTCTAACATGGCTCCTGTTTTTTACCAAAAGCCCTATCAGCATAGCTAAGTCACAGTTTGTGCCTCTGTGATAAAATCAGACCAATCAGCTCTGAGATTGCTCTCTGATTACAATTGTCGTTTTTTTCACTGTAACTGCAGTGAGATTGTCCATTTTGGTCACAGGCTGCCTCCTGCGACTTTCCAAATGGCGTAAATGACAAATGATTAAGAACTTTTCAAAAGACAGATCATCATTCCCCCTACAAGTTGCACACAACGTAAAATATATCTTTAAAAGGGTATGTCATTTTAGAAAGCATCAATATATTAATTAAAGTGTAAAACCTAGGCTTTACAACTGCCACTGGCATTTCCTTGCCAAATATCTAACAGGGGCATACTATAACCACACAGTGAATGCTGCAATAATTATAAAAGTCAAAAATAATAAATTGCCAAATAAAATATTTCATCTCAAATTACCAAATATTCTTTTATAATTATGCTTTCAGGGTAGAGACTGGGTCTGGGTCTTCCTTGGATTCCTCCCATGAAGCTGTGATTCATGTGGTTTAGGGCAGGGTGGTGTTATGGTTAAAAGAACCTAGTTTGGTCTAGCAATAGTGATTTCTAAAGTCATGTCCTCTACTTGCATTTCTTCAACATCATACAGGGGACTTATAATTACAAGTAATTGTTTTAAATTCCATTCTTTTTTAAAATCGCATTGTAATAGTTCCAACGGTGTCGACCTCACCAGCCCTCACTACTCACAAAAAATCTCTGCCTACATCCAAAGCAACTCTGAAGTCTTCTCCTCTCTCTCCTCTCTCTTTGGATAAGCTCTTTTTTCACTCCTCCTCCTTCCCACCACGCCTCATCCTTCTCTCCAATCTAATCTACTTTTGTTAAAAGAACTTTTCTGGCAGAGCAAGATTCTTGGAAGATACCTGTGCAAAGCGAAAACATTACATCATAGGCAAAGAGATGCCAAAGGCTAGAAACATTCTTTCAGTAAGAATTTTGTCCCATGAAATTTGTACATGCTAACTAAATATGCATGAGTAGATAAGTAATTTAAGTCATAGGGGAGTATACCTCATAGACTTGTGAAAGAAAGAGAAAGAGAGAGAGAGAGAGAGAGAGAAAGAAAGAAAAGGAAAGAAAGGAAAGAAAGAAAGAAAGGAAGGAAGGAAGGGAGGGAGGGAGGGAGGGAAGAAAGAAAGAGAGGGAAGGAAGGAAAAGAAAGAAAGAGGAAGGAGGGAGGGAGGGAGGGAGGAAGGAAGGAAGGAAGAAAGGAGGGAGGGAGAGAAGGAGGGAGGGAGGGAAGGAAGGAAAGAAGGAAGGAAGGAAGGAAGGAAAGAAGGAAGGAAGAAAGAAAGAAAGAGAGGGAAGGAAGGAAGAGAAAGAAACAGGAAGGAAGGAGGGAGGGAGGGAGGAAAGAAGGAAGGAAGCAAGAAAGGAGGGAGGGAGGGAAGGAAGGAAGGAAGGAAGGAAGGAAGGAAGGAAGGAAGGAAGGAAGGGAGGGGGGAGAATTAGCTATCACGTGGAAAAAATTCTGGTCAGAATCAGAAAACCCAGTCCCTGGACAGAGCTCTGCCCTCAGCTACTCTGACTTACCTTTACAAAATTACTCCTGTAGGAAAAAAATATATAAACACGTTTTTTGTCAGGCCTCCAAGTTCAAGCCTGGCCATTTTAGCCTTGGTGACCTGCACGTACACCTCTGGATGGTCCCCAGGAGCCAGAAAGTCTGAAGAAGTAACCTCAAGTAACCAGGTGGTCACAGAAAGAAGTAAACAACTTGTTCCTGCCTCAAGGAATTGCTCTCCCCCTACAACGTACAACCTGCAACCATTGTTCCTGCTCAGCCTTGTGGAATTTCCCCCTGGACACTGGGTTTCTCAAGACCCCCACCCCTGTAACTATGTAATTTGCCACACCCTCCCCTCTGCTTGCAACTCCTCCCCCACCCTTATGATCATGCCTGTTTGTAATAGATAACCCATACGCTTGTGACCATGCATCCCATGATGCCCTTCCCCTCCCTAAAATAGATTACCACCTTTAACTGACCATTTGCCGAAACCTATAAAACCAACCCCTATCCCATCACCCTCCGCTGACTCTCTTTTTGGACTCAGCCCACCTGCACCCAGGTGAATGAACAGCCATGTTGCTCACACAAAGCCTGCCTGGTGGTCTCTTTACATGAGCTACATACCTAACACTTTTCAAACATTCTCCTTTCCTGAAATAATAAAAAATATTTGTGGTAAGTATTAGTATTATAGTTTTGTCTTAATATTAAGCGAACCCATGTGATAGTTATAAAATTTCCAACATTTTAATCAGAACACACCAAAGAAAATGATCTGTGTTCTTGAGGGATTAATGCATTCATTTGCAAAACTTCTTGTCATGGAGTATAGTAAAACCTCATTAACTCAGACCCTTCTAATTCAGAAATCACCATAGCAAAGGCAGTGTGGTATCATACAATGCTCTGTGACTAGACATAGGAAAGCAAAAAACTTGAGACAGCTGTTGCACTAGTTATGCATGATTTTAGAAAGCTTCCTTTACCTCTACTTTCTGCTCATTTGTGTTTGAAGTGAGCAAATTTATACAATCGATCCATCTCATCATCATACAATTCTATGATTATCCATAGGCCAGATAGATTTTTTTCTGCTTTATTCTTTTTATACGCGATGTTTCTGAAAATGGAATTGTTTTAGTCTTTACGTTTTTAATCTGGAATACCTAAAGATCCCTGAGAGGTTACAAGAGCTTCCTAGATTTGGGCAATTATGATTATGTGCTTTTTTCTGGACAGAGGTTCAGACCTTTTATCTGGTTCCTGAAAGCTCTGTATAACTCTGAAAAAAAAAAAAAAGATTAAGAACCACTTACTTTAATAATGAACTAATTTCAAGTGATTCCCGTCGACTTGTAAAAACAGACTCACAAAGTGTTGCTTACTAATGATGTGTTGGTTCTGGGACATTCTGTATTCCACATTGATAAATAAAGTAGAAGCTACATTTCAAACTTTCACTAATGACTGGGTCACTATTTGGTGATCAGGCATGGACTGCATCCAGGTAGTTGACCTTGTTATATCAAACGTCTTGAACAATACCTACCCATTACAGGCTCTCAATGAAGCAAGGAAGAGAAAGGTCTACCCATTTATCTCTAGGAGAAGAAGGCAGCCAGGGTGATCATTTCACATCTAGGTTTGGATTGAGAATCCAGAACTTGATGAGATGATGGAAGAGTCAGCAGGTAAGGACAGATAGTTCCTCTCAGCCACAAGTCAAGCCTTTTCGTTTAAGTCAGGAAAAAACGGAGGTCCGAAGTGTGGAAAGCCCTTCAGAAAAGTGTCAAGACCAAGCCTAGCTCCCTTAACCAACAGCACAGGTCTCTCCCGCCACTACATCGCCCAGCTGGAAGAAGACACGGCTGGGCCATGTAGTGGCCTAAGACACCTGTACTGTTGGAATTCAAATGAGCATGTCACCCAAATTCCAGTTCCTTTCTTTTAACTGAAATCCAGCAACTAACAACCTCCTCCTTCATTAAAAGTAGACATACCATAAATAATAACCTGTTATCACCAATTTATTAAAATGAAAATTCATTTAAAAGCAAATAAAATAGCATCGTGTCTTATAGGTAACATAAGTTGAATTCAAATTCTTTGTCTTTGTCATATCTCTAAAAATACCTCGTCCTATAAATAAAATTTTTTTATAATGCAAAGGTAATTTGTTTTTCAATAATGCTTGCTTATTTGTCTTAACTGCCAATTACAGGGGGGGCGGTGGTGAAGGGCTTCTTTCATCAGTATTTTTTTTTTTTTTTTTCTGAGACGGAGTTTCACTCCACCCAGGCTGGAGTGCAATGGCGCGATCTCGGCTCACCGCAACCTCCGCCTCCTGAGTTCAGGCAATTCTCCTGCCTCAACCTCCTGTGTAGCTGAGATTACAGGCACGCACCATCATGCCCAGCTAATGTTTTGTATTTTTAGTAGAGACGGGGTTTCACCATGTTGACCAGGATGGTCTCGATCTCTTGACCTCGTGATCCACCTGCCTCGGCCTCCCAAAGTGCTGGGATTACAGGCTTGAGCCACCGCGCCCGGCCTCATTAGTATTTTTAAAAACACATAGTATATAAAATTGAATGCCTGTGATTTCATTCCAATGCACTTGTGGTAATTGTCTTTTAAAACCCAAATAGCATTTGCATTTCTTTTTTTCTTCTACAGGAGCATTGTTTTAAACCCAGCGTATTTCCGGAATCATCTACGTCAAGCAGCAGTGTTTAGGTGTCTGGAGAGATATTCAGAGGCTGCCCGGTATGTTTGTTTTAACTTTTGTGAGGATTTATTTCAAGTTCAATTTCTCCAATTCTGGTAATAGCATACTAGAACTATTATTAGTTCTCTCATGGGATATGATTTTTATCCAAATTATTGTCTGTAAATGTCAAACCAGCAATTATTGACTATCTTTCTCTTTAATTAAAGCTATTTCATATTCATAGCTCTTAACAAAATTCAAACTTTCCAGCCATGAGGTCGCTGACAATGATGGAAAAACTTGCATAAAGTAATAGAAATGCACTTGACCTCTTACTCTCAAGGATGTTCTGATTCAGATTGCAATGACACATTTCCGGAACGATCTCTTGAGCACTGGAGAGGAAATCCAATCACATGCAAAAGATCCCAGAAACCCCTTTTCTGGAAAAGATGGTATCAGTTAAATAACACCAAGGTTGCTAGAGATGTCCCAAAGTATTTTTTTCTTGGATCCCAATGTATTTTTTTGAAAAACCTAGTGAAGCTTCCCCTAATATTTGCAACCCAGAACTTAGACTGTGGCAAAGAATCACAGGAGCTGTGCAACAGCCTGAACGCTACACTTAGAATTCCTTCTCGCCTGTGACAACCAAGGCTTTTTTCCTTCCCGGGTTAGGTCACCAGACTTTTCTTCCTTTCCATGACTTGTCTCAAACAGTTTTTCTTATTTCCTAATGTAGAGGTACCTGCTGTTTCTTCCTCATCCACTTTGCCACCCCAGCAATCTAGCAGGAAAACACGGTTGGTTTCTAGATTTACTGCAAGCACAACGTCTAAGAACAAATCCGCAGAAATTGAGATGGGGCGCCTAGGTTGCAGGCGGAACTGGCTAGAGCATTTGTAAATAACACTATCTCTGAAACTGAAAGCAAGAGTTTGAGTGGATAATCAAATGGCTTCATAAAACTGACACTGTGAGGTTTACATGAATTCCACGTTTGTAAGATGTTCCCAGGAGTTGCCTGAACTCACTTAAATAGATAAGGAAAGCAGAGCTCATCCTAACTACCCTCACTTTGCAGCCAAACAACCAATATGCCACGCCACCTTTTTACCTGTGTGAAGGTCCACTTTGAACAGTATTTAAAAGGTCTTTATCACTCTCTTTCTTGCATTTTCCCTTCTCTACTATTTCTCCAATATGTTTTATCTAAGGTACTCACATATTACTTCTTTCTACGTTTTATTTACTCCACTGAAGCGTCTCTGTGGCTTGCTTTTTGCCCACACACTTTTCCTAGATGTATGAATGAGAGAGAATCTAAAAGATGATAGTAAGCGTCCTTCTGGTTCACATTTAAACAGGTTTTTAAAAAGGTCACCAGCTACAAATGAAGCTAATAGGTTCAGCATAAACAGGTGACAGTCATCTGCAAAATAGCCTCCATGAAGAGGTGGGTTTATGAATACATCTTGAATCCAACTGAAAGATCAATAGAAGGCTATTTCAGAACAATTTCAGAACTAGATTTCAACTAGTAAAAGAATGCTAGTGGTGTGCTTATACAGACTCTAAAGATAAAATTGTTAAATATTCAGGAGTTTGGAGCAAGCTAGTAGGTAAAGTGTAGGAGAAATCAGCAGTTCTGGGAGAAACTACGCTATTGAAATTGCAAATGCCACAAATCAGGATTTTTTTTTTTTTTTTTTTTTGCTTTTGGGAGAGCCAGGTTACCAGCATACCATTAACAATAACATCATTGTATCAAGCCTGTTGGAGCCAAAGTGGTGACATAAATTCTTCACGGGTCCTTAAACAAACAACAAGAAGTAAAAAATTCAAAATATATTAGTATTTTCCCTGTAAAATTGGCACAGGATATTCCACTGCCCTTGTCATGTATGCTGAAATAGGTACATCTGCAGTCAAATAGGCAATTCTGCTTAATAGCATTTGATAACTGACCTGATAGTGGTTCTTGAGAAAATTCTGGATAATTCTTGGTTATGCTAGTGTAAACTTTCTATAGAGAAGCAGAAACAGTTACTGTCAGGTACAAGTATTTTTCATCTTGGTTTTTTTGTTGCTATTGTTATTGAGATGCAGTCTCCCTCTGTAGCCCAGGCTGGAGTGCAGTGGCGTGATCTCAGCTCACTGCAATCTCCACCTCCCAGGTCCCGGTTCAAGCAATTCTCCTGCCTCAGCCTCCCAAGTAGCTGGGATTACAGGCATAAGCCACCATGCCCAGCTAATTTTTGTATTTTTTAGTAGAGACAGGGTTTCACCACGTTGGCCAGTCTGGTCTTGAACTCCTGACCTCGTGATCCACCTGCCTCAGCCTCCCAAAGTGATGGGATTACAGACGTGAGCTACTATGCACGGCCTACAGCATTTATGTTTCTCAGTCAATCTCTTGGAGATTTGAATAGTTTGGTTCAAGCCTCTTACAAGTATTTTACGTTAAAATTCGTTGGTAAAGACAATACATCAAGGTTATTTCCTGTAGGATACCACACAGTCATGTTTCTTGGATTGAGAGGCACCTACCACATATGAAAAAAATGCCGTTATTATGTGACTTGTGAGATTCTAAACCCATAATTCCCAAAGAAATGCATCAACCCATATCATGTCCAAGATATAACCAGTCCCAGGAAATTAGAATGTCTTATGTTTTTGAAGCCTAACCACCTTCACCATGAAGGGATTTCTAGTAAATAGACCAGAATGATTCCCAGAACAGCCTCATTTAAAAAGCCCAAACCCTCAACAAGAGAGGCTGGAGGAAATGCCACTCCCTGTGGCTGGAGCGAAGGCATCAGATTTATAACAATGGGCAGGTTCTTGTACTTTACGGCTCAATATCCTTTGAGTAACATTCTACCAGAAGAAAGTGTAAGAATACATAAACAATAGAACTTGAACATAAATGGAGATATTTTATTATGGTTGAGCCTCCGCAGGGATGCTAGTCACTTTGAGGAAAGGGCTGGGACTGGTTAAATTGATTAAATCACATTTTCAGACCACAAACTAAGTTGAGATTGCTCTAACCTCCGTTTCCAAAACAAGCCACCTTGTGAAACCTTAACTGAAACAGAAAGTTGCATAGCTCTTTAACGTCTTTCTCTTTTAATGCGTACAAAAAAAACTGCTAACATACAATGAATATCATCACTCAAATCTGACTCTACTCCCCCAGCACTCACACACACACACACACACACACACACACACACACACACACACACTCGCACACACACAGACACACACACACACACAGACACACACACACAAACACACACACACACACACACACACACAATACACCATCTAGGACTACCTCCATGAGAAAAAAAATATTCAAAGCCATGCAATCAGAGAAAAGCCAAGACTGGTTTGTGAAGAGAGCTAATGACTTTTGACAATGTGAATATCAGGGTGTCTTTTATCTTTCTGTGCTCAGTGACTAGCACAGGGCCTAAAATATGCCAAGCACCAGTTAGGGGGTTCTGAATTAAATTAGCAGGTTTTTGAGTCTTTGACGGTATGTGATTGGTAACCATTCAGCCATATCAATAAGACAGTACTCAAAATTCTTCGTAGAGCCCTGAGTGAAAGATAAATATGAGAAGTGTCATGTAGTAGTGAAGATCGTGAAAGAGTATGATGGCTTCTAAACTGAAAATACATAGGCAAAAACCATGTAATATCGCACAGTCTTTATTTAAAACCACATTGTGCAAGAAGCAGCAAACAGAAGGTAAAACTAAAGAAAAAATGCAACAGAGCCTCTTTAATGCATCATTGAGAAAGAATTTTCTGCTGGGCACAGTGGCTCATGCCTGTAATCCCAGCAATTTGAGAGGCCGAGGCGGGCGGATCACCTGCGGTTAGGAGTTCGAGCCAACATCATGAAACCCCATCTCTACTGAAAAATACAAAACTCAGCCAGGTGTGGTGGCAGGCGCCTGTAATCCCAGCTACTGGGGAGGCTGAGGCTGGGGAATCACTTGAACTCAGGAGGCAGAGGTTGCAGTGAGCAGAGATCATGCCATTGCACTCCAGCCTGGGGGACAACAGCAAAACTCTGTCTATAAAAAGAAAAAGAGAAAAGAATTTTCTGTGTATTTCTACATGCATGGACTAGATAAGGGATATGAAAACAGGAGTAACACAGTCAATTGCTTATAGAGCCCAGGCAGATGAGGTGTGTATCAGACCAATTATAAGATGGTGTGTTCTATGAACCTCAGTGAGCTGGAAACCACTCACTAAAGTGACCATAAAATTTATCTTTCAAACTAGATACCTGTGATAGTGGAAGTGGACACTAATAAGAATTACACCAGGAAAATAGGTATAAACCAGGACTTTCACAAGCACACTGGCCATATCATCACCCTACCACTGGACCTTCTAAAGAGAGCGGCCACTACTCAGGTCCATCTAACGGTGCCCTATGAGAATGTAGGTTCAGCTTTGCTAATTTTTTTTCGAGTCTTCAAGAGATAGTGTTAATATAACTTTAGAGCATTCTAAGAGATTCACTGGCTTTTTAAAATAATTTCAATTTTTATTTTAGATTCATGGGGTATCTGTGCAGGTTTATTACATGGGTATGTTGCATGACACTGACGTTTGGGGTACAAATGGCCCTGTTACCCAGGTAATGAGCATAGTACCAGTTGGTAGTTTTTCCATCCTTACTCCCCTGCCTCTCTCCCCTGTCTAGCAGTACCCAATGTTTATTTTTTCCATCTTTTTGTCCATGCGTACCCAAAGTTTAGCTCCCACTTATAAGTGAGAACATGCAGTATTTGGTTTTCTGTTCCTGTGTTAATTCACACTTAGGATAATGGCCTCCAGAGGCATCCATGTTGCTGCAAAAAATATGATTTTATTCTTTTTATGGCTGTGTAGTAGTCCATGGTGTATATGTACCACATTTCCTTTACCCCATCCACGGGTAGTGGACACCAAGGTTAATTCCGGGTCTTTGCCATTGCGGATAGTCGGGTAACGAGCATACAAGTGTATATGTCTTTTGGTA